GGGAGCGGCCACTGCACTCCAGTCTGGGCGACAGAGTGGGACTCCGGCTCAAAAACAAAACAAAACAAAGATGGCCCCTGAGGGAAAACACCATGTGTCTGGCCCTGACTGGGCACTAGGCGGCCTAGAAGGATGGTTTAAAGGAGGGCTTACTTATTCTCTCCTTCCTTCTCTCCTTCCTCCCTCTCCTTTTTCGTAGCTGCTACCCACTGTGTTTCTTTTACTAGATCTAAAACAATCCCCAAATTCTCCTCCTCCCGTCTCTTCTCCGAACCCTCTTTCTCTTCCCCCTTTTCCTTCTCCTTTTCTCTCCGAGTGGTAGATGTTAAGCTTGTTCCAAAGCAAGCGTCCTCAAAGAATCTGATGGAGACCGAGAACCCTTGCCCCAGAAGGATGTGCCTGTGCCCACACTTTGGCGTGTAACGTGGGTCCCAGACACTCCGAAGCCCTTTAGGGGCCCACGGGCTGGGAGCCGGAAGAAGGTGGCCCTGATGCGGCCACGGCTTCCATCTCTATGAGTCATGGCCCAGGAGGCGTCCTTGGTCCAGTCCCCGGAGCCTGGGGCTGTGTTGACCCATGACCCCCTTCCAGTCTCTCTCTCCCCAAACTAGAATGAGCACCTGAGAAGGCCGCCGGCCAGAGGTCTGTTTCTGACCCCAGGAAGCTGCTCAAAGACATCCTGGTGAACTCTTTTTCTTTTTCCTTCCCCTTTTTTTGAGGCAAGGTCTCACTCTGCCGCCCAGGCTGGAGCGCAGAGGCATGATCACAGCTCATCACAGTCTCAACCTCCTGGGCTCAGGCAATCCTTATGTCTCAGCTTCCCGAGTAGCCAGAACTACAGGCACACGCCACCACGCCTGACTAACTTTTTGTTGTAGAGATGAGGTCTCGCTATGTTGCCCAGGCTGGTCCCGAACTCCTGGGCTCAAGTGATCCTCTCGCCTCCGCCTCCCAAAGTGCTGGGATTGCAGGTGCACGTCACCACACCTGGCCCTGGTGACCTCTTTAGCCCTTCATGCTGGAGATGCTATCTCCTGGGTGGGGTTGGGAGGGACATGAAACACTCTAAAGAGTCCGTCACTGCTCAGCTGAGCTGCTTTCCTCTTCCACACGCCCAGTCCAGCCATCCAGACAGGGCGACCGCTTCCTTTTCACTGGCCGGTCTGTCTCCTTCATGCCCTCCTCAACTCTTCCACGATTCCTAACATGCAGACACCACCATTCATTCACTCGTTCCACAACTACTTACTGACCACCTACAATGTGCCCGCACAGTTCCTGGCTCTGAGGACACGGTAGTGAATGAATGAAAGAAACAGAACCCCTGCCCTGGAGACCCTGCCTCCCGTGGCCATGCCCACCCGCACAGGGGCCTCGGAAGGCCTTCCGAGTGGCCGTGCCTGGAACTGGCCATCCTCGGCTCCTGGCAGCCCTGCAGCGTCACTTCCAATCGCTGCTCTTGACTCCAATACACCCCAGCTCAGCTGACCCCCACTCACGCCCGCTCCACCTCCACAGGTTCAGGTGAGTTCACTGGTCAGGGTCTGGCTCAACTGCCTCCTACTCTGTGGCGCCTTCCTGATCCACGCTACGGCGAATACTCCTGTTCCTCTGGGAACCTGCGTTTAGGGGCCCGGTGTCTCGTTCCAGTTATATCTCTGTGGGCATATCTGTCTCTCCCCGGAGCTCTGAGCTCCTGGAGGCCAGGCCACGTCTGCTTTGTCGCCGCATCCCCAAACAGGCTCCTTTGACAGGTTTGTTGAACAAGTAAATGAGTGAAGGAGGGAGCCGGGGGATGGACAGTTCCAGAAACTTTGGGAGGCTTGGGACCTAAGGCGAGGCGTATTGGCGGCAAGCCGGCACTAGAGGACGACAAAGAGTAAGAAAAAAAAATGCCACGTCCAGGACCTACAGGCCTGGACCAGAGGAGAGCTCTCTGGCGGGGGTGGGTTTGATCCAACCTGGAAGCCGCAGCCCTTGTGTTCAGCGCCTCCCTGGCTACCTGGGGAAGGGGTGCCGGGTGGGAAGGGTACCAGGCCTCCGTCCCTCCCGCAGACTGAGGGCTCAGCCTGAACCCTGCTCTGTATCTTGGAAAGAAGAAAAAGACAGGCCGGGCTCGGTGGCTCAGCCTGTCATCCCGCGCTTTGGGAGGCCAAGGCGAGTGGACTGCCTGAGCCCGCGGGTTCGAGACCGCCTGGGCAACTTGGCGAGACCTCATCTCCACAACAGATCAAAAAGCTAGCTGGGCACGGTAGCACGCGCCGGTACTCTGGTTAAAGAGCAGGCACGGCGGCTCATCCCTGTAATCGCAGCACTTTGGGAGATGGAGGTGAGAGGGTTGCCTGGGCTCAGGGGTTCGAGACCAGCCTGAGCAGCACGATGAGGCCTCGTCTCTACAACAAATAATAATACTAAAAGAATTAGTCGGGCATGGTGGCGCACGCCTGTGGTTCCAGCTACTTGGAGAGCTGAGGCAGAAGGATCGCCTGAGCCCAGCAGGTCCAGGCTGCAGCGGCCGTGAGCACGCCACTGCCCTCCAGCCTGGATGACAGAGGAAGGCTCTTACAAAAAAAAGGAAGGAAGGAAGGAAGGAAGGAAGGGAGGGAGCCACAAGCCATGCCCAGGCTAATGTTTTTATTATCTCAGGCCTGTTGAGCGTCGCTCGATCCCCCCCTCGCCTGCCTCCACTGTTAAAACACTGTTCCATGACACTTGCTATAGCGCGGTAAGGAAGATTTTATTCAGGACCGTTGCGATGGGCACAGGAAACACCGGGATGGGACTCTGCAGTGTGGGAGAGGTTGGACTCTCCTCCGAATACGGCATGGGCCAGTGGGAATGTATGGCCAAGGAGCAGGGTGGGGCCAGTGGATGGAAAATTACTAAGGGGGAAGAAGCCTCAGGGTAAGAGGGATTCTGGCTAAACTGACCCAGCAGGATCCCAGCTGAAGGCAGCCAGGGAGATCAGACATCAGCTGGGGCTGATGCAGGAGGAGGACCCCATCAGCTCTGGAGGGTGATCCAAAGGTTCTTGCTAAAACTGGATTTGATAAGGAAATGCACTGAGGATCCTAGGAGAAGTTTCCAGAGCCCGACTGAAGTTTGTTCAAGCAGAGAATCTTTGTCAACTCTCCCCATGTACACACACACCCCCCCCGCAGCATTTTGTGGGGGGCGGGTGGTGTGGGGGAGTCTGGGGGGAGGAGAAGAGCAGGAGAATCTGTTGATTCATTGCCCTGGAAGGAGGCTTAGAGAACATCCAGTCCGATGGTCTCATTGTACAAATCAAGAAAATGAGTCACAGGAGCCGGCCCCTGGCCAAGGGCGCAGAGTCAGAGACATTCAGATCCCTAGACTCCCGAGCTAGGCAGCCAGGCGGGACGGCGGGGGCGGGAGGATGGATGCCCAGCCCTCCCGCCTGGCACCTCCTTGGCCCTCCTCCTTCAGCGGTGACGTGTTTGGGGTGATGTCTCTGAGGCCGGCCGGAGGTTTGGGGAGTGAGACAGGCTGGAGATGGGTTTTCAGAAATAGACTCTCAAGAGACAGCGTCTAGACATTTCCAGAAAGACCCGGTGCCCCCCGCCCCCCTGTGCTCTAATGGCTGCCCATACTTTGAGCTCCCAACAGGCCTGGTGGCTGGTGCAATCCATCAGCTGTTAGGCCTCTCCCGGGAGCTCCAGCAGCTGCTGGAAGACTCTCGTGCTTTCTCTGAGGCTGGGCCAGCGAGGGCGGGACTGGCTGGGCTGCCAAGGGTGGAGCTAGCGTGGTCAAGGCCTCAGGCGGTGCCAGGGAGGGGGCTGGTCTTGGGGCTGCTGCAGAGCCCCCAGATTTTAGGACAAGGGAAGGCCTCCGGCCCTGCAGTTAGCAATGAAGGGGCAGTAGGGCTGTGACCCACTCCCCTCCCTGTGGCTTCTGGAAAATCCCTGGGGGTAGAGTTGTCCACTTTATTCCAGAAAGACTACCCCTGGCAGCTCAGTGCCCAAGACCCTGAAGCCAGCCACAGACGGCCAAAGAAAGGTTGGGCAGGTGGGCCGAGTGGGATCTGCCATCCACCCCTGGTCCCTGCTTGCCAGGTCGGTTTCCAGGTGGGGAGGACAGCCTCCTAGAGAAAGAGCACCTGGTCAAGGCTAGAAGGTGCTTGGAAGCCCACAGACCTCCCTGCACTGCTGGGAAGTCTCCCCCTTGCGGGATGGAGAACCAGAAGGCCTGAGCCCGTAATCAGCTCTGTGACTTGGAGCCATTCTGACCCTCAGTTTTTGCGTCTGAAAAACGGGGCTCTGTTAAAAAGCCTCTGATGCTCTATTAAGCACGTACAACTGGGTGAGTCTCATCGTTCTAAGTCTCGGAGCCCCAAATCAAAGGCCCTCAGAAGAACACTGAGCACTTACTGAGCAGCAGGCACTCCATGCACAGCAATGCTTTGAGACTGACCACAACAGTCCTGTGAGACGGTGTGAAGGTGGGGACATGTGGGCTCAGAGAGGCCGCCAAGCCAGTGAACAGCCACACCCAGACCCAAGCCCCGCCCTGCCTGCCCCCAAAACCCAGTTTCTGTTCCACCACTCACCCCCATCTCACCTCTGTGCCGCCCAGAGCCACCCATGTCCCCTCCCTTGTGACTGGCAGGGTGACCTACGACTTGTCCCTCAAGAACTGGCCCCTCGAAGATGAATGTGATTTGTGAGTGAGCATTCCCAGTGCGGTGAGTTGCACCCTAAGTTGCACATCCTCTCCTGGCAGGGGCAGCAGGGGCGGACCCGCCCCGCCCTGGTTTCGGACAAGATGAAGAGAGCCATGAGAGAGCTTGTTCTCCAAAGTGCTGGCAGCCGGACAGGCAGCTTCTACCCAGAGCGTGGCTGGGCCTGGCAGGGCGACGCCTGAAAGCATCCACGACCACACCTGGGGTGCGGCACCCCGAGCTTGTCTGGGCCAAGCCGGGCAGGGAGGGGCAGATGTGCCTCCCCCCGCTCCTGCCCTCACCCTGACTTTACAGAGCTAGGGATGGGAGTGTTAAAAGCCAAAGCCCTGGGGCTTCACGACGCTGAGATCCATGGCAGGGGGTGGGGGTAAGGTGGGCAAGCAGGGAGGGCGAAGGAGCTCCCAATTGAGACCCAATGGGCTCACGATATGACCAGCAAGGGAGGCTCCAGAGAGCGGGGGTCCTGTCTGCCTCCCACCTTAGGCCCTCAGGAGCCCTGGGGGCTCGGAGGCCTTTCCAGGGGTCCCTCAGACTCCTGGCCCAGTCCTAGCTCTTCCCTGATGGAAAGCGGGTGGGTGAGAGAAGCATCTATGAGCTCGCTCTCAAAAAAGAAACTGAGGCTCAGAGGAGGCGTGGGACTTACTGCTAACTCCAGTTCATCAAGGTGAGTGGCCCGGAGTCCGCCCAGGTGTCCCGGGATTCTGGGCCTGGGCAGGGTAAGGCAAGGCCTTACTTAGGGGCCCTGGCCCCCTGCAGAACTGGCGGGAATGGAACCCCGGCCCTGGGAGGGGCAGAAAGCACAGCAGGACTGGGAAGAGGGGAACGCCGACCCCGGGCTCCGAGAGGCAAGAGGCTGGCTGGCTAGTGTTTCACTGGAGGCAGTGGCGAGTCACTTAATCTCTGTGAACCTCACCTCCTGAGCAGCGGAGAAGAGCTGGGACTTCTGAAGGTGGGCGAGAAGGGATGTCAGGACGGTGGCAGAAGCCTAGGGGCTGCACCCTCCCTCAGAGCTGAGGGTCGGGCCAGGATCCCCTAGGTGGCCAGATAGAAGAGGTGAGTTCAAGGGTGAGCTTCAGGCTCCACCACCTGGAGCTCCCCTTTCCCTCTGTGCTGTGGGAATAAACAAAACCAGTTTTGAGATCATAATCTGAAAAAAGGGAAAGGAGGTTCCTTGCCTAAAACCACCTAGTAAATCAGGGGCAAAACCCAGACTAGAATGAGGTTTGCTGCACTCGAGGTTCCTGGCCAGGACGTCGTAAAGAACATCAGATGGAATAATGGGAAATGTGACAAGAGTCTTCTTCCCGATGCCCTCTGGGCACTGGGCCTCTGGGGTTCTGACCTGGGCGAGCCCCACGGCTGGGGCAGGGGACAGATGGCCAAACTGCCAACTCTCCCTCTTCTCTCCCTTCAATCCCCAGCAGATAACAGCAGCAACAATGACAGCACCAGGCCTGGGGCTGAAGTCTTCACTTGCATGAAGTCACCCAGTCCTCAGGCCAACCAACACATGACAGTCAGGTCTCTTAACAATGGAGACAGGATCTGAGAAACGCCCTGTTAGGCAATTCTGTGTCCAGTGCACGTACACAAGCCCAGGTGGTACCGCCTACTCCACACTAGGCTAGCGTCTAGCCTGGGGCTCCCAGGCTACCGCACTGAACACCAAAGGCCACTGCGACACACTGGTACCTGTATTTCGGAACAAAGAAAGGGTGCAGTAAAAAAAATACACAGGCCGGGCTCGGTGGCTCAGCCTGTCACCCCAGCACTTTGGGAGGCCGAGGCGAGTGGACTGCCTGACCCGCGGGTTCGAGACCCGCCTGGGCAACTTGGTGAGCGCTCGTCTCTACACTAAAAATCAAAAACTAGCCGGGCATGGTAGCGCGTGCCTGTAGGTCCAGCTACTTGGAAGGCGGAGGCGGAAGGATTGCTGAAGCCCGGCAGATGAAGGGAGGCTGCGGCGGCCGGGAGCGGCCACTGCCCTCCAGCCTGGGCGACAGAGTGAGACTCCAACTCAAAAAAAAACAAAACGAAAAACAGTTCTGGAAGGACGAAGCTGAAGGGTCGCTGGAGGGACCCAGCAGGTGGACACGGGGGTGGCCCTGAGCGTGCGGCCGCCCTCCGGCCCGGGCGACAGTGAGACTCCGACTGCGGATGAAAAGATACACAGGTCCCCCGAACCCAAACGTCTCTACTGTCAACATCAGCGTCTCCATTTCCCGGGCGGGACGCCGAGGCGCAAAGGGTCCGGCGGCCCCAAGCTCATCTGTGGCGCGGCAGAAGCAGGACGTGAACTCGGGCAGCCCGGCTCCGAGCCACGTCCCG